CATCACCCAAACAAGGAGCCTCACAACCTTTCCTCTCCTACCATAGTTAACACACACATACACGCACACAGATTCACATGCAAAATCAGATACCAATACCCATCCCATAGACAGAGACAGACATGTACAAGACAACTTGCATTTCTCCAAACACACTATGCATCCTTTTATACTTCTGACTTTTTGTACACGCTGGTCTCTCTATCCAGATCAAGTCCAACTCATCCTCCAAGACACTGCTCAAATGCTACTGCTGCTTCCCCCACATCTTATTACACTTGTCACTCTGAATTGTAATTGTTTGTTGACATGTGTTACCACCTAGAATTTGAGCTCAAGGGCAAAATCATGTTTATCATTGATCCCTATAATAGACATTCAAATGTTTAATTAACATGCTATATAATAAAAGCCTAATATGCTAAGTGTCTGGTCAGTCATTCAACCAATCAAAGCGTAATATGCTAATGATATGCTAAGGCTGCTCAACCACTCGCTATGACGTGCACTGACCACCAGGGGGAAGACAGTCGACCAGTTGCTATGACCTGCACTGACCACCAGGGGGCAGATGCTCCGACTGGTAGGTTAGCTTGCTGCTGGGGTCTGGCCGATCAGGACTGAGCAAGACTCAGGACTGAGCAAGACGGGCCAGACAGGCCCTGGAGCTCTCCCACGGTCCCTCCCTGGCTGGCCAACCTCCCGCTTCCCTTTCCAGCCCTAACCATGCACTGGTGGGGTCCCTTGGCCTGGCCTGCCCCCTCTCGCCATCCGGGCTGAGGATCCCCCCCCCTCCACAGTGCATGAATTTCGTGCATCGGGCCTCGAGTTATATATAAATGTTCACTACATAATTCACCAATAAGCCAAATATTTTACTTTCTTTTTTTTTTTTTTAATCCTCACCCAAGGACATGCTTTTTTATTGATTTGAGAGAGAGAGGAAGGGAAAGGGAGAGAGAGAAAAAACATCAATTTGAGAGTGAAACATTCATTGATTGCCTCTCTCATGCACCTGGACTGGGGAATCAAACCTGGAACTTGGGTATGTGCCCTGACCAGGAATGAAACTCATGACCTTTCTGTGATGGGACGATGCTCTGAGCCACACAGGCAAGGGCAACCAATTTTTCAGAATACATTAATTAAAACAAAGACGTACAATTTTACAACCAAATTAGCATTAGCATTTTTCCAAAGCAAGAACACCCATTCTTTTATAAAAGAAAGATTTGTCATAGAAATATTCATACCACTGGAACCCTTTCCCAGTCCTAGGGTTTTAGACTGAGGAAACAAACAAGCACAAATATATTCAATGCAGTTATAACATTGGAAGCTTTAGAAATAACCAAAATGTTTAACAAAAGGTAAATGACTAAATCAATCACCTGATCAATAAATCATGTGAAATGTCGAAGCAACTGTTTAAGTTATGACAATGGGAACGGAAAAATGAGAAAAAATGTTATCAGCTACTCTATTGATCATCTCTTTTATTTTAAAAAAATAGTGCCAGATGTTTTATATAGAGTACCTTAATCCTCACAACAATTCAAGGCCAAGTATTATCCTAATTTCATAGTTAAGGAAGTATGCTCAGAGGTTATATAATTTGCCCAAGGTTTTTGAGACCAGATTCCAACCCAGATCTAACTCCAAAGTGTGTCAGCTTTTCCCTACATTACATTGCCCCTGATATACAATATTTCCAGTATATTAAACTCAAATTATATCTCTACCACACACCTTTTTTTTTAAAAATATGGACAACTGCCTGGAAGGAAACAAAAACATCTATTAGAGTGGTGATTAAGGATGAATGTTGTTACACTAATTATCCTTTTTAAAAATTAGCAACTTTTGCCGAAACCGGTTTGGCTCAGTGGATGGAGCGTCGGCCTGCAGACTGAAAGGTCCCAGGTTCGATTCCGGTCAAGGGCATGTACCTGGGTTGCGGGCACATCCCCAGTGGGAGATGTGCAGGAGGCAGCTGATCGATGTTTCTCTCTCATCGATGTTTCTAACTCTCTGTCTCTCTCCCTTCCTCTCTGTAAAAAAATCAATAAAATATATTTAAAAAGAAAAAAAAATTAGCAACTTTTTAAAGCAGAATTGATAAACAATAGACTAAACTCATGAGGCAAAACAAAAGACACAATCCCCAATTTTAATTTTTTTACATTTTCATTAAAGACAGAGTAGGTAACATAAAAACTTAAGAAGGATGTACTCAATTGAAATACCTTCTAAACAATCACATATTAACCCCAAGGTGCTTATTACCAGGATTCAAAATCTAGTCATTATGACTGGATTAAACAGCATTCTTCCAGAAAAAGGTGAATTTTGAGGAATACTTGAAGAGAAGACATATGAATTGGAGACAGTTAGGAATGTTTAAACTGAGGAATCAAGGGCAAAGGAAAAAACAAGAATGTTTTCTTTTTAAGCAAGAACAAGAAACAGGGTGAGATGAAGTTGTGGAAAGCCTTCAAGGCCAAGCAGATAAGTTTGGGATTAATTTGATAAGCAACAGAGAACTATACCATATTCTTAAATGGGAAGGTAGCATGCTGAAATATGGTCTTTAAAGATCCAAACTTTGTTCCAAGGTACTGCCTTTGGTTACACAGTGTTTCACCCAACAACTGGGGACGGAGAGGAATAATCCATTATCTTTTATATGTACTCTGGTAAAAAAGAGAAACTGACTAAACAATAAAAATCCACAATAATAAAAGCATAATATGCTAATTAGACCAGACATCCTTCTGGCCAACCTTCTGGATGAAGCCAGGGCTGTGAGGGAAGTCCAGGTCCCAGGTGCCTGCCTGTGGCTGGAGGGAAGCCCAGGTCCCGGGTGCCAGAGGGAAGCTGGTGCCGGCAGCCAGGGGAAGGAAGGCCTACTCTTACATGAATTTCGTGCATCGGGCCTCCAGTCTTTATATAATGGGTGAGTATATTGGGGAGGAAGGCCTTTCAGATATGCTTGTGAATATTAAATGCCACTGTACATTTTAATAAGAATCATACTCCCTCTGTCCCATAATAATAGTAGCAAGTGAATATTTAAATGGGAATTATTGGCGAATGCAGCTGTAAGTTATGTTGTAGCGCAAAATTACGAAGCCTTCAATCAAAATCAATGTTTCATAACGTCTGTCATTTGTTTTGACACATCTTTCAATTTTTAGGTTAATCTAATTATTACGAATTATAACTATTTTTCTAATTTCATCCGCTGATTGAAATCAATTGTTTTATTTCAGTTGAATATCAACCCATTGTAAAAGTAAGATGAAAAAGAGTTTTCAAGCAAAGATCGAGTTGCGATTGTCCAGTTATTGATGCATCAAAAGAAAAAGGAAAAGTTGCAGAAAGGTGCAATTACGTTAGCTGCAAAACAATTTAAGTGCAACAGAATGACCATATCAAGGATTTGGAAACGTGTTTCCGAAAATAATTGTCAAGGAGAATCTTATGCTAATGTTGATTCTTTGAAAAAACAAAACTGTGGACGTAAACACAAAGATTATGGAGAAAAACTTGAAAAACTTAGACATATTCCTCTTAGCAGAAGAGGCACCATATTAGCCTTTGATAATATTTCTCCCGAAATACTGGATAATACGTTTCTGTCACTTCAACAAGTTATGCTGGAAGCAATGAAGAACGATGGCTCCAATAATTTTAAGCTCACGCTTATAGGGAAAGCAAAGCTTCGCAGCCAAGGGATCCTACCTACAAGTTTAAAATGCAGTAACGAAATTATTGGAAAATCCAGAAACTATCTGAACACTCAAAATAAAAATTAGGAGTACTATTTTTAATTTATTGTTTAATTTAATCTAGTTTTTTGATAATAAATGTTGCGTTCTATATTTATTTTCTTTTGCTACTATTACTATGGGACAAATTACATTCATCAACTGCTACTATTATTATGGGACAGAGGGAGTATAAGTTTAGAGCAAGAAGGATGCTGGAGATAACCTTTTAGTGACCACCTCTTCATTTTCAAAATGAATTAAATTGATGCTCAAGAACTAAATAACTTGCCTAATGTCATATACAGCTAAAAGATTCAATATTAAAAAATTAAAACTCAGATTTTCTAGGCAGTAAGATCGAAAGCAGTGCTGTCCAATTGTAGCTACTAGCAACATCTGGTTATTTAAATTTAAACTGGTTAAAATTAAATACAAATGTTTTAAATTTATAATTGATTTTTAGAGAGAGACTAAGGGGGAGAGAGACAGACAGACAGACAGACAGACACTGATTTGTTGTTCCACTTATTTATGCATTCACTGGTTGAGTCTTTTATGTGCCCTGATCCGGATCGCAACCCTGGTGTATCAGACATCACTCTAACCAACTGAGCTGCCCTGCCAGGGCCAAAATTAAATACAATTTTAAATTCAGTTCCTCGGGCACGATAGTCACATTTTTGAGTGCTCCATACTGCACATGGCTACCACATCTGACAGTGCAGAAAAAAGAATAACGTCGTTTAGTTTAATGCTGTTTTGTTGATGAGATGCCTTAAGAACTTAACCCTTTTTTGTATCAGTTCGCCTATGGTAAAATTGGTTTCATTTTACGTCATTTTCCTTAAAGTCACAGAAGCAATCTATGACTTTAAGTAAGGACTTAGACTCACTGTACTTCCATCACTGCAGAAAGTTCACCTGGCACCACGATCTAAAGAATAAGCTTCAGAGCCAGACAGACCTAATTTGAATCCTACTTACTAGCAGTGTGATCCTAGACAAATTAATTTCTCCTTGCCCTCATTTGGGGAGGAGAAGGGAAAAGCAAGAGATTATTAATACCTTCCTCACAAAGTGTACTTGAAGATTATGTGGGATAACACGAAAAGCCCCTTTATACTGTCTGGCACATAAAAGACAATAAACACTTCCCTTCTGGATCCTTTTTTCTGCCTACTCCTCAATATAACCTCCTTGTTAAAAGATACAAACACAATAACTCACCCAAATTAGTATCTTCCTCCCCCTCAAGATAATCCACAGTACCTAATTTTCTTCTGTTCCTGCCAATTTCTTCAAATACTTGCATCTCTCTTCCAGTGCTTCTATTTAGGAATAATGAAATTAAGAATGAATGTAGAGGGAGATGCCTCTAATAAAGTGGAAGAGAATGGAATAAATTGCCCCTCTGTTTTCCATCCTATTTTAAATATCATTATACTGACTGATCATACAAAGGAAAATATATTACACTGTTCATAAGTAATGTAATTCTACACCAATAAAGTCGATTCCACAACATTTCTACTTCTCACCATCTGTACTAATAACTGGATGTTAAATGAAGAAATAACACTTTCCCTCTACAGTACTACTTTCCAGGGGGGGAAAGGATCTCCAGAACGCTAAACCAGTATTCAAGGCTTCACAGCTTAATCTAGTGAACTGACAAATTTAACAAAACTAGACTACAGCATATAAAAAACTTTACAACATGCATGTTATTAACCCAGAAAAACAACAAAATTCAACTCAGTTTATAACCAGTGAATTTCTGCCAATACTATATTTTATTTAGAAGGAACAATTCATATTTAGCTACATAAAGTCACATAACTTGCCGTTTCTAATGAGATTGCCAATTTTACATTCCTAATAAAGAATTAAAGCAGAACTTTTAAACATATGTCTTAACTTTCACCAAACTTCCACCAAACAAAACTTCCACCAAACAAAATTTCTACATATTTTTTAAAACTTTGTTATATAAAACTGACCATATTAACTTTCAGAGGGGAAAAACAAAAGTCCTCTCAACAACAGTCAATAACAGCGTCTCCTTGAAATTATCTGGTAGTCTCTTATTCTGCTCCTTAAAGATTACTAAAAAAACCCTGATCCCCTTATAGAATTTAGAATGTCATAAATAGGAAGTAGATAACACTGCATACTGTACTGTCCTTTACAACTCAAATTATGTTTAGTAGACAAAACTAAAAGATGTTTAATATACAAATCACAGAGTTTAATAATCCATGGGGGTTCACATATATTTAAGAAAATTTAGGTTTTTATTACTATCCCACATAAAGTATTTTATACATTAAGAAAAAAAAAAAAGGCTTCTATGCCTGAACTTATACAACCTAACTGTGTAAGAGTCTAAAGTTTTTTTTAAATCCTTCAATAATAATGAAGTGTACATTGGTCACAGTAGAATAGTTGCAATGAATTTTCCTGAGGCTGCATTCTGAATACATCTGACCCAGAAAGTATTTTTAGCAAGTGTGTTCAATCAATGCTGGTTTTATGCCTAGCCTAAATTAGAAATTGGGTGTCACAAATTTAAAGTAACAAAGTTACTAGGAACATTTGAAGATATTCAATTAGAACACAAGAAAAAAAAAAGTCTGAAACAATTCAATACCCACAAGCTAAGCAGGTTAGAAAATAGGCAATAAGGAAGGCATATCCTCATTCATTGCTGCTTTTGAGGAACCTGTGATTTTTCTATCTTAATAAACTTTAAACTACTCGATATTATTTACAAACTACAATTGTGGCTCCTTGTGTTTTCAAAATTTTTTGCCAAATGTTTAAAATAGATGAGCTAAATAACAAATGTTTCAGTGCAAAAACAGTAACAAAGATATGTGTGCCATTAAAAAAAAAGAAGAAAAAGAGTTTTTTGTGGTAAATTGGAGCACGAATTTATTCTGACCAAAAATGGTGGGGTCCACAAAATGATTGCACTCTTTTATTACGAGTTAGTAAAAATATTCTGTACAAATACACAAACATTTGCTTATAAAGTCTTTTTTTTAATTTATAGGTTGAATTTATATTCATCAAATTCAAGATGTAACTGATATACCTATCTCTCTCCCATTAAGCACACTTTGGGCTCTGAATAATCATTTATTTTAAGGTTGTCTCCTCCCCGCTTTAAAAAAAAAAAAAAAAAGAATAATTTTTTCTCAGGCTCCTTAAGGATCCAAAATCAGGATTAAAAAAAAAAAAAAAAGGCCAGTCTTCCTACTTAAACCGTCTTTTACAAGAAGAATACATTGGTTTTCTGGGGTCCCTCCACCCCCAAACATGTTTTAAACTGTATTGTTTTAGCTGGGTCTAAAATCTGGTCACATAAATCTATTAGCATTCAAATTTCCTGATTCGAAAAGCAGTTGGCATAGCGTATATGTACAGGTTCTCCTAGAACAAGGGCTTGAAAATCCTACAGATGGTCCTGGTGAAGATCGTAGTGGTGCCCCTAAATAATGCAACCCCCAAAAAGTCTCCCATCCTAAGTTTCTCAGAAACATGCAAACATCTATCTGCTCAATTGTAAACCGTTCCATTTTAAGGAACCGCTGCGAAATGCATCGGTACGTCTCTTTAGCTACATCTCAACTTTTTTTTTTTTTTTTTTTTGCCCCAACTACAGATTCTTAAATGCAAGTATATACCGGTAGGATCATGAAACTTACAAACTTCAACCGTAGGGAGTCCGTCTATGCAGCCTGCAAGCCGCGCTCATGTGAGCCAATCAAAAAAAGGGGGGGGGGGGGGACTCCTATCAGCGCTGGAAACTCAGAAGATTCTAAAACCTTCCTTGGAGTTTGGGTCCCGAGGCACACCCATCCCCGCACCCATCCCATCCCTTGTTCCGCTCACCTGTCACAGATCTCAACTCTTACCCCGGGAGCCGAGAGCAGAGGTACCTACCGGAAGGAGGGCTGGATGGTGCGGGGGGCCGGGGGCACCCTTTCCCCCGCCTTTTAAATTAACCTGGCACCTCGGGATGGCCCTACCTGGCTCGCTTCCCAAGAGCCACACTCGCCCCAGGTAACAGCCTCGCGCACGACACCCGAGAGCCTCTTACCTTCGTGTCACAGCCGCGTCCTCCCGGCTGGAGAAGAAAAAGCCTC